AAGAATCTGATCCACAGTGAAGCAGAAAGACCATGTGTCATAAGTTTTTAGAGATGCAACTTTAATGCTGTGTTATACTGAATGCAGGGGGGCGTTATGACAATTTAAAATAGACCCTTTGGATGGGGTTTGTGTGTGGTGGTCTTCCTGTAACAAACAGACTTTTTCCTAGGGATGAGGGTAAGTAATCTGCCTAATCAGAAGAAAATGCCTACAATATCTCGCTTGTTTCTGAAAGAAGTTACACAGACAAGGCTGCAACATCAGTCTAGTGAAGCCTCTCTGCTAGAGTATAAATATAGAAAGTTTTGAGCTTCATTTGGTATTTAATAGTGTGTGCCTGTCTTCCATGCACATAGAAAACTAGATATCATGGAAAAGATTAAACTGGAGCCTTTTGTCCTCCTGACCTACCAGCTTTCTATGTGGAGAGATTTCATTTTACTGGAGGAGTTTATAGTAATCTAAGCCTAAGGTTCCAACAGCAGTAGTACAACTTAGACACAGGTTTGCAACCCCAATGATAACTATTTTAATGCCATTGGGTGTCCCCCACCCTTTGAGGTAAACTGTAGAGCAGGGGTCAGCAAACTTTTTCAGCAGGGTGCCGGTCCACTGTCCCTCAGACCTTGTGGGGGGCCAGACTATATTTTTTTTGGGGGGGGGATGAACGAATTCCGAAGCTCCACAAATAACCCAGAGATGCATTTTAAATAAAAGCACACATTCTACTCATGTAAAAACACGCTGATTCCTGGACCGTCTACAGGCCGGATTTAGAAGGCGATTGGGCCTTAGTTTGCCTACCCATGCTGTAGAGGCTCACTTGCATGTGGGAGAGAGCCTTCTCTGTAGTGGTGACAACGCTGTGCCCCAGGATTTCCATCTGGTTCCTACTTCACTCTCTTTTTGCCACTTTATTAAGACCCATTCATCTAGGCAGGCTGGTTTTTCTATAATGTTAAACTTGTTTTATTTGCTGTCTTCGTTTCATCCTTAATGCTTGTGCTTTGGTCATGTGATGCTGTCTTAGGTTGTTTGGGCGGTTTTAATTTGTTTGGGTGGCTTTAATTTGTTCTGTATCCCAACCCATTTTCTGATTGTGATCCCACATTGATTTGGAGTTTTGAGGTTGTGCAAGAGGAAGAAAACAATCACTCAGGTTCTTCCATCCCTCCCAAGAGCTATGCTTTCACTCTTAAGCAGCAGAAACTTTGTACTGGCTGTCATGTGGGCAATATGTACTTTAGCTTCAATTCTCACTCATTAGCAACGGTTTCCACTGTTTACATTATCATATCATTACTTTGTCTCCTTTATGTGACGATCACCAAACCATCCTATAATTTCACACTAGAATTAGCACAAATGTCACCAGACACTTATTCCTACAGATACGGAGTCCCTTGAATTCCTGCAAAATTATGTAAACCAAGTGTCAGTAAATTGACAGCTGTGGGATTAAAAACTAGCCTTGCATTGGAATCGTGTATTCTGTAGATCCCTATGGTGTTTTCTTTTTTAAAATCAATGTTTTTAAAAAAGTATCAGAACAAACGGGAATAGTGAAGTAACTCTTAACACATGTCTCGGTTCCCACCACCACTTCTCTTTTCATCTGGCAAAATCTGACACTGGCTTGTCAGGTTTATTAAAGCTTTGAAATCTTTGTTCACAATCATTTTCAGCTCAAAGCTGTGCTTCACGCTGTGGCAAAAGAGAAAACATTGGAAGGTCTGCCTGAATGAGATGGAAGAACAGAGATGAGCACTTTGTAATCTGAGATTAGTGGACAAAGGAGACTAGAGGAAAAACACATTTCCTGTTTAAAAAATTACCCACTTAGCGTTAATGCAAGGCAACCCACTGAGTGAGCATGGAAACTGAGATTAGAAACCAGGGGCATGTCAAATGAACGGAAAGTATAAGTCTTGGCTCTCAAGAACCTTCAGGTGTTTTTCGCTGGTTGTCTTGAGATGGACAGTGGAAAGCTGAAAATGGTATGATAGAAGCACTGTTTTCCCTTGTAAACACATTTATTACTTTTGTCCTGCTAAAACAGGTTTTGTAGGCTTTTCAGATGAGTATAAAGACCACCAACAATGCTACGACAACCCCTTCATAAAACATACCATAAAATAACACCTGCCATATAAAAAAGCAATGTCCGTATAAAGGGAAAACTATGTAAGTCATTCTGTAACTAAGGACTATTTTCAGAATTTCTATTGCCAGTTGAAAGGTATACTCTGTGTTGCAGGCCAGGCCTGTCAATCTACTATAGCTCCCTATGGAAATATATAAGATAAGCTGCAAGTTCCCTGATCACAGAGATCATTTATAACCCTTGAGAGATCATGTACAGGTGTTGGCTGAATGTGTGAGGACCCAATGCCTGAAGAGGTATAATATATCATTAAGTGTTATCAGTATGCTCATTAAACCCAGCTCTATTTCTCCATTACATATGAGTCAGGAAAGACTATGTGAGGCCTGGACCAGTGCCTGGATGCAGTGTTGGGCTGGATGTGTGCCAGCAAATTGAGCTGGAATCCTAGAAAGATGGAGGCATGGGTGCATGTCCAGAAGATAAGCCAATTGCCTGTTCTGGATGGGATTGCACTCCCTCTGAAGGAGCAGGTTCATGCCTTGGGGGTGCTATTTGATTCATCTTTGTCAGTAGACATCTATTGCCAGTGACATCTATTGCTAGAAATGACTTCTGCCAGCTTCTGCCAGCTGCAACCATTCCTGGACTAGGATAGTCTGACCATGGTGGTCCATGCATAGGTAACCTCTGGACTTCATATGGGACATCCTTTGTATTTGGTCCAGAAGTTGCTGCTAGTACAGAATGGAGTGGCCAGCCTGCTCACAGAAGTAGGCTTCTGGCAACATGTTACTCTGCTGCTGAAAGAGCTGCACAGGTTCCCAATTTGCTAGGAGGCGTACAAGATGCCATCCAACCGTCTTGGGGACTTCACTCTGGATTTGTGTAGTGTTTACTCCTTAAATACTCCTTCGGGATACCTCCTGAAGATAACCTGCGAAGCATCAGAGGTTTAGCACCAGAGTTTTCCTTCTCCTAGATGGGCTACCTTTTCAGGTTGGCAAGCCCCATCTGCCCCTCACTTTCCTCTACAGCATGTGCAGAAACTGTCTTCCTGACCTTTGGACCCACTGCTCTCATTTTGAAAAGACTGCCTGCTCCTGCTCTCCTTTTGAAAATATATCTATCCATATTCTGCAAATAAAAAGAAATATTTTGACACGATACTACCCTACACCACACCACACTACACCACACCACACTGAAATGTTTAAATGTTAATTTGATTGTCCTTGAATGTTCCTGCCACATTTGCCATCCCCTCCTGCCACACCACTGGCTTAGTGTGTGTGTGCGCATGTATATATGTGTGTGTGTGTACACACACACACACACATATATATATAGTGGTACCTCGGGTTACGTACGCTTCAGGTTACATACGCTTCAGGTTACAGACTCCGCTAACCCAGAAATAGTACCTCAGGTTAAGAACTTTGCTTCAGGATGAGAACAGAAATCGTGCTCCGGTGGCCCAGCGGCAGCAGGAGGCCCCATTAGCTAAAGTGGTGCTTCAGGTTGAGAACAGTTTCAGGTTAAGAACAGACCTCCAGAACGAATTAAGTTCTTAACCCGAGGTACCACTGTGTGTGTGTGTGTGTGTGTGTGTGTGTGTGTAAATTTCTTGTTTCCCATCCTAAGAAGTCTGTTATAGGATAGCCGGTAAATACTGTTAAGTAATACGGAAAGAAACAAATGAATAATTTCCTCTGATCTCTATTTCACCCCAGGATAAGTAGGTCACAAAAATAAGAGCAGGGTGACTATGCCTCATGGTGTTCCAAAAATTAACCCATGAGAGCCAACAGGGGAGTGTCGTGTGTTTTAAAAACAAACATTGTTATCGCAAAACTAGTCCAGAACATTATTTGGACATTGTCTTTAAGTGACCCCATTGGTTTTCACTCCTTTCTGCAGCTGCCAGGTGACCTTTGGCATTAAAGTCATTTAGGTCACATATTAAGAGGGTCAAAAATGCTTATTGGGTCAGACCAAAGTCCAGCTACGCTAATGTAATGTTTTCAGCAACAATGAGTTTGCATGAGGTTGGCAGCTATCTTCCTTCTGCAGCACCCGGCATCCTGCCTTTGTTGCTATATAGCTATTCCTCATCAACTGGTCTAACCCTGCACACATTGCACAGCTGTGTACAGGTGAGCTGTGCCCAATCCTTGCCCCCAGAAGATGTAGCAGTAAAGCACATGCCGTTTTGCTGATGTGTTTGTTACGTGTGTAATTATTATGCAGCTAAGCACATGTGTGTGGAATGTTAGAGAGCCACACATCAGAAGCGTAATGTGCAAATAAGCTTTTTGCTCACAAGGAACTCTGGGGAGAAGGGGGATGGGGGAGAGAGATAGAACAGGTTAGATGGTCTACAACCACCTGTGCAAAGCTCCTGCTCATTCCCAGCTCCGACTTGATTGGGTTAAATAACTCAGCCTTTATTCACCCACATTTTTGTTGGCATTTTCAGTGGGAGTTTCCCTGAATGAGTAGTCAGTAAAAACGGAATTGTGATTCACCCTCATGTGTTTTTCTTTGAAAGGGCCTTCCATTTTAAAAAAAACACACAAAACAGCAGCATAGATGGTTAGGAATTTTCGCCTCGCCTCGCCCCCCCCCCCGCCTTCCCCACTCCTCCCGTACATCCTTTACATTTAGCCCAGAGACCCACCGTGTTGCCGCAGAGCTGCTACAGAATGTGCTTTGTACTAGAGCGGAGGGGAAAGAGTTTCCTGCCAGTCACTTGAGTTGAAGCCACTCCTCTTTTGCAGAGATATTTTGTTTCTGATTTGAGTTGGGAGGACCAATCAGGAGGCTCGCACTGTTTTTACTGTACTGTCAGATTGCAACCTTCTCCCGCTCTCGCTAATCTGGGTAGCCTTCTTTGGCGTAGTCCACAGCAGGCTGCCTTTACTCACACACATCCGCTCTCTCTCTCTCTCTCGCTCTCACTCTTTCACACCATAGCTCAGCCTCTTATTAGCCATTCAGCTCTGAAACCTGTTTCACTGCTGAGGCTTAAAAATGAGGTGGAAGCTGCTTTTCCCGCAGCTTTGACAGGGGAAATTCTCCTTCCAGGCTTGCAGCAGCAGCAGCAGCATTGAGAAATCGCTTTGCCACCAGCCGTCTTATGATTTAAATGTCATCCATGGACGTTTCTCCCTCTGCTCCGGCATCGTTGGTCCTGTTCACAGATATTAAGATTAAAGAGCTTGGATTCTCTAAGGCTCGTATCCAAGGGCATCGGCTGTTAACATACTGAACTACATCTGCTTCTTGGCTAAGACTGAAGAAAGACATCTTAAGCCTGGAAATCCTTCCTGTGCTTGTTCTCTAGCGTGGTCACACACACACACACACACACACACACGGCAGGCAGCCCAAGAAGTATATGCTGCAGCAGGTTTTTTCTTTCTTTCTTTAATTCCAAAAGACTGCTTCACTTTCCCATTTCCAGTGAAAAGATAATGAAATAAGAGCCTCTCGTCTCCAAGAAAGAAAATTACAGGAATCAGCTACCGAGGAGGAATCAGCAAGTTAAACAGCAGCAGAAGAGGACAAGGCGGAAGGAGGACACTGGTTGAGAATAAAGATCAACAGCAAAAAGGAAAAAGAGGAAACAGGTGGAAGGCTGAGACACCTGTCAGAGCTAGTTCGGGCTTTAAAGTGGGGACCCCCCCTTTATCCCCCCCACTCTCTGCTCATTTTGTATTTGTGTGTGTGATTCAGCATCATCAGCTTGCAAAATCTGCCTCTAACCTTGTTCCCTGGCTGCTGCTTGTTGCTGGTCCTGTTGCTGTTACTGACAGAAACGTGTTAACAAAGCCGAAAGAGAAAAAATGCCAGCCATCCTGGTAGCCTCCAAAATGAAATCCGGACTACCTAAACCTGTCCACAGTGCTACTCCTATTGTTCATGTTCCAGCAGCAAGGACCATCCCACAACCCTGCTACCTGAAGTTTGGGAGCAAGGTGGAGGTGAACAAGTCATCCTATTCCAGCCAGATCCCTCTCAAGTCACACAATGGTCATGAGAATGCAGGAGATGGCTTCCTACCCAAGAAGAGCAGCTCCATGGAAAATGGCTTTGACACACAGGTCAGCAAAAATGGTGTTAGCGTGGTAACAGCATGGGTGTGTGTACTGTGTTTTATGGAAATCTGTTGAGCAGATTGTGTTGCAATGCTGATGGGATGTATGTGTATTATATTCCTGGTGGTTGCATATATTGGCGAGGAAATCATATTTTTGCAGATATATTATAGTGAAAGGGGGAATTGGGTGTTCATAGATATTCTTATAATGTTTCTTAGTTGTGGTGGGTAGCTTCTTACTTGTGGTGTCCTGAATATTTCACTAAAGCAGGGCTGTCAGTAGTGGAGTGTGTGCTTTGTTTGCGATGCCAATATATACGATTCCGGTTTGTTGTGGTACAGGTTGCAGTGGGTGTGTTTGTGCATCATACTGGTAACACAAGGGTTTGCTGCTTGCGGAGGTTTCCTGTTGTGATTGCACTGCTGTGTGTAGCTGAGCATCATTCTGCTTTATGTAGCTGAGCTTGTGGGAGTGGTGTGTGTGTAGCAGTCATGTGTAAAATGATGGTGAAGCATGATCTATATTATGGTATGCATGAAATATACGGATGTTTAAACATACCATGCATTTAGATTCAGTGAGTGTGTGTAAAATATAGTAACATTGTCCATGCCTTGGATGCCTGGGGAAAAAATAGGCTAATTGGAATTTCCTCTCCACTATATATTCCTGTCATCCTGGATATAACCATCTTCAAATGTGGCTTGAACCCATTTTTAGATGCCTCTTTAAATGCTGCAGCTTTATATGGCGAGAGGCTGCAACTGTCTGTGTAATTCTGACTTGCTTTATTTTTGTGAGTGTGTTAGTATTTTCAGGATGGATCAGATTGCTTCTGCATCACCAGTGCCTTAATATGCTCAATAACAGCGTAAGCAGATAGTAAACGCTCACACACTACTGAGTGAGCAAAGCAGATGGTCTGCTGCCACAAATGGGACTAATTAACATTAGCTAGATAGAGATTGCCGTGTGGCCAGATCATGAATTCTCAAAACGGCTTTGCATGCTGCAAGCCTCTTCTGCAGACGTTTGTGCCTGGTAGCAAATGGTGCAGCCATGTTGGGGTGGGAAGTTAGCTGCTTTAGAAAGAATGCTATTGGTTTGTTTCCCCACCACTGGGGAATACTAGGTCACCCCTGCAAATCTAGGTTTTGCAGTCTGTGGCCTCGTAACCTATTCTGCTAAGGAATAGCACGGCTGCTGACAGAGCTTGGCCTCCTGCCCTGCATTTTAGGGGATGCTGCACTCTCTTGTCCTGGCAGGCAGAGTGACATATCCGGCACGACTCATGCAACACTACCAGTTCCTGGGGGCTTGAGAACCAGAAGGGAGACATGATAGTACTGATGTCAGGGTAGTGGCAGCAGACAGACTGACCTTTGCATCACATCACACTCCAGAGAGAGCCACAAATGTTCTTTCGATTTTCTATATTTCATTTTCAAAGCACTGGCAAAACCTCAACTTTTACAGACCCCCCCCCAAAGAAAAAAGGGGAAAAAAGAGGGGGGATAATCTGGTGCTTGAAAGAGTGATTGATAAGAATATGATATGATATGGGTGATGGAGTGGGTGAGTTGATTTTATAACTCTAAAGGGGGCTTTAGACATCTAGCATGCACCTATCCGTGGCACATTAAATGCTGAGAACTGAATCACTGAATGGTGCATGTGTTAGGAGCTCGAAATTGAATCAATTGGTGCTAATTGGGTTTTGCTTGGGGGATGAATGATAACTCGCACGCCCAATCTATAGCTCAAAGCCCGAGGAAGTGTTTCACATTTACAAATCTCAATAGTTGTAATAGAACACAAGGCTCAGTGAGAGTTCAGCATGTAGCCTCACTAGTCTGAACATAGCCTCAATGGTGGTAATAATGGTCATTTGGTTATAGCATTTATGCCTAATATACTGCTCAGTTTCTGTTTGTTTTCCATTCCTAACCATCTTCAGCAGATTGTTCTCAAGACAATCACAGCCTCACCTGTTTTAGGATGCTTTCAGTTAATCTTTCCTTGTGCTCTTCATCTCAAAATATTTGCTCCTCCATTGTGCTAAATCAAGAGCAAGGCTTCTGGGAAGCTGCTGTCTAACCTATGTGTTCTGTTGGCACCAAATAAATGCTCAAGAGTTCGAGTATTGTCATGGGTCTGGTAATATCCATTGAAACTCATGGGGGGGGGGGAGATTTTGCCTGCCAAAACAATCACACTGTGCATATAGTTGTGATTTTTCAACCAGTTACTTAATTTACTTTTTGCTGCTAGAAGAGGATCACATTGTGACAGACCAGAATTCTCCATTGTGGTGTCCTCCAGATCCTTCAGCTATAACCAGCATGGCCAGTGGTCAGGGATGATGGGAACTGTAGTCCAATAATATCTGGAGGGCACCAGACTGGAGATGGCTGTGCTAGTTTGACCCTCAAACCATGGCAGTTCTGCACCTGGTATTCTTCTTCTTCTTTGGCAATCACTCGTAGCCAAGTAAGAGTGTCTTCCATAAACATGGTTTTAACAATGAGTCTGTTAGTGAGCAGGAACCCAAAACTATATGACAGCACTGGCCTATCTGGGGCCCTGCAGATGTTGTTGGACTCCCATCGCTGACAATTGACCATGCTGGTTGGGGCTGATGAGAGTTGGAGTCCAATGACATCTGGAGGCTGTCCATGCTTAAAGCTCCCTCTTGTCCTCTGGGGTGTACTTTGAATAATACAGACCCCCAAGTCAGAGTTCAGCTCTGGATTGTAAGAGCTTTGGGAGGGGGTATGAGTGTTAGCCAACAGGCTATGGGGTGATGTTAGGACTCTGCTTAGCCTAGGGAACAAAAGTTTAGGCCAAATGACAAGTAAGTTATTGGCAAGGATAATGTTCTTTTGGTGAGTCCCTTGGATACCATAAGAACAGCTTTGAGATCTTCTCCACAGCCACTTCTGAGTGTTCCAATTTAGTTTGCATTGTAGCAACTGAAGTACTTGACCTTGATAAATGGGGTAGAGATGTCCATTCCCACCCCAACATGTCGTTTCCTTTCAAATAATGTATGGCTCTAGCTGCATAGTGTAATGGCTCTTGGGTGAGACAACCTACCTGCTCAGTTCACAGTCCCCACCTAGGCTTTGCTTACCAGGAAATTCCCCGAGATTCGGGTACCTCCACAAAACATGAAACATGAAAAACACCAAACATGAAGAGGTACTAACTTCTGAGGAGTCACATGACACATTATCTCAGCAGCTCCAAGACCTGCACTGAGAGACGGAAAAGGTGACTGAACAAGTGAGACTCTTCCCAGGGTCCCATGAGGAAAGAGAAACTAAAACTGTAGGTGCTCTTAAAAGCCATTTACACATTACAGTTAGGATCAACCCACCCATGGCACAAGGTGAGAAAACCTCCTCAGGAGGCAGGATCCACAGGGGCCGCAGATCCGGCTTCCAAGGAGTGCACGCCTAGGAGGCCAGACCTATTACCTCCTTGGCAGCACCCCCCTCCATGCCACCTCTAGTCTCCTCAAACCCTAGGGAGGAAATGGTGGGAGCTGCCCTCTGGGGTCTCCTGGGGTCTGCACCTGCCCAGAGTGATTCAGAGTGGGTCCCCTCCACCATGACGGCCTTTAATTCCCACATTAACCATTGGGTAAAGCTGTTTAGTTCCTCCCCATGTTCTTGATGTGGATCTTCACTCACCCCTTCTTCCTTGAAGGGAGGCCTGCCTTTTTGTGATTCGCCATAGGTGCCAAAATGTCTTGGGCCAGCCCTGATTGCAGTTATGATGGTGGGGCTGCCTACTTAGCCAGCAGGTCTTTATGTTGTGGGTATGTTTCTAGTGACATTGCTAAAGAGGTCTTACTAGTTCTGGGATTCGTCAATTGCAAGGGGACATAGGAAGTTGTTTTTATACCAGGTCAGATTATTCATCCATCTAGCCCATTATTGTCTCCTCTAACTAACAGTGGTTTCTAGAGTCACCAATGAGGATCCTTTCAATCACCTGCTATCTAACCCTTTTAATAATAATAATAATAATAATAATAATAATAATAATAATAATTTATTTCTACCCCACCCATCTGGCTGAGTTTCCCCAGCTACTCTAGGCGGCATTCAACAGAACATTAAAAACAGAATAAAACGTCAAACATTAAAAACTTCCCTAAATAGGGCTGCCTTCAGAAATTCTAAAATTCTTCTAAAATTCAGATAGTTGTTTATTTCCTTGACATCTGATGGGAGAGCGTTCCACAGGATGAGCGCCACTACTGAGAAGACCCTCTGCTTGGTTCCCTGTAACCTCACTTCTCACAGTGAGGGAACCGCCAGAAGGCCCTCAGCACTGGACCTCAGTGTCTGGGCTGAATGATGGGGGTGGAGACGCTCCTTCAGGTATACTGAGCTGAGGCCATTTAGGGCTTTAAAGGTCACCACCAAGACTTTGAACAAAAGATGTCATGGATTGAATTTGGGGTTTTCTGCATGTGTTAGGAATGGGGTAGTAATTTGTTAAGTTTGCATTTTAATGTGAATGTATCTAAATTTGCCATTTCAGAACAGATAAGAGAACCAAAACACAGTAGTCTTTGAAGGTTGTACTTCTCCACATTTGCACAAACCATGCACGAAAATGTATATATTGGTGAAAATAATGTACAATGCAACACTGCTTTGATTGAAAAATGCACTTTGTTGGCAAAAATGTGTACAGAAATGTGTATATTAGGAAAAATACATGAGAAAATGCATACAATTTTTCATGTAGACTTTTAAAATAAGATAAACCACAAACAGAAATCCTGTGAGCTTAACTTAAGGTTGGGGAAATAAGAAGCAGAAAAACTGAAATTGACAGATTCACCCATCCCAACACTGAGCTTCAGTCCCCCTCATGATCAGTCAGCTCAGTGAGACCCTTAAAACATTACTAAAAGCCCTCCACTAGACTTTCCGTGTGTTTCCCCCTCCTTTATAACAGTAAGCTACATACTGTTATATGTTGAG